TGCCTCCTCATCTGCTGTCAGCCTCTGTGACATTGGTGCCATCCTTATTAGCATGTTTGTGTCTCACCTAGCCTACTATTCATAAGCATTGGCCACAAGTCTCCGTTCTAGCCATTCTAGAGGAACATTTATATCACAAAGGTCTGTATACAATCCACAGCACTTTTATTATTGTTCATACATAACAAAATAAAATAAATGTGATTACACAAATGTATTTTTAATATACATGGATATCTGTATTCATATTGCCCTATAGACTCAAAACCTACTGCTTGTATACAGTATATATAAAAATGAGGACTCTTTCTATTATGAATAAAAAGATGCTGTTTGTGAGCTTGCTAATTGCTCTCATCTCTCATGATTTGACAATGGTCCTAATCTCTTAGGCACTTTTTAACACGTTGCATGAATGCACGCCAGTGCGTGACCTACTTTTTGACACAGGTTCACGGAATGTCAAAGTGTAAACTGGGCTTTAAAGTATAAATAAACCTTCTTGTTTTGCATATACCTACTGCTAGCAAGCGATATGTGCAAAAACATTAAGGGGTCTATTCACTAAGCTGCGGAAGGATCTAGCCGTAGCTTCGGCTGATCCTTCGACCCCAGGACCCCTTCGGTTCAGTCAAGGGCTGCTGTACGGACTATTCACTATAGCTCGTACAGCTCCTGAAGTCGGCCGACCGGCTCAGTCGAGCCAAAGGCATATGCTTTGGCTCGGCTGAGCCGAGGTGAACGCAGAAGCTGGCCGAACGGCAGGCCGACAGCCTGCTACTGACTGCTGGGCGGAGCCAGCAGTCATCTCACGGCTGGCTCCGGCCACTTGCACAGACAGATCAGCGTCCAGGGACGCTGAGCTCCAGATAGCCCAACACTCCCGAACGCTTCGGGAGTCTCCCGCTATTAGATAGCGGCTCCCTCCAATAGGAATCTCGCTATGCATTCCTATGGTGATTTTTTTTTATTCTGACGGCGGCTTAGCCGATTCAGATGTTGGATCGTCTGAACCGAACTTCTTCTGCACTTTGGGTCGGCCAAACATGCTGGGCATGTTCGGCCGACCCGAAGCCACACGAAGCAAGCCGATATACGGCTGAAATCAGCCATACAAGCCTGAAGTGAATAGCCGAACAGCGTTCGGCTCACTTCGGGTCGGTTGTTCACTTGGCTGCCTAGTGAATAGACCCGTAAAAAGAATTACCAAACAGGTTATTACTTACCTGTGTCTCCGCCGCTCACTCCCATCCAAAGATCTGAAGATTCTCGAGAGGCCATGAAGGATGATGGTGCAGGTGCATGCGCAGTAGAGATCTTTGGCCGGGAGAAGAGGAGAGACACCGTGGGACACAGAAGACTCAGCAGTCAGCGCTGGATTAAAGACCAGCACCAGTGCTGAAGGGACTCCTGAAAACTACTGAAAAGAAGAAGATGATCGGATCAAGAGGCATCATTTAAAGTAAGTCCTTACAGCAGCATGGGAAGAGGGGGAGGTGACTTTAATATAACTTTAAGATGGTCCCATATGTATCGATATCATCATTCAATGTGGTTAAACTGATTGAGTTGAATAAAAACCAAAGAACCTCAATTTGATTGATTTTGACTCTGCTGAGACGAGCGTAACAAATGTCCACACGTGTGCCGGAAAACTGATTGTTATTCTCATCAATGAAATTATCATTTTTAATAGATTTTTTACATTTATACCTAAAGCTTACCACACAGGTTGCAATCTGATTGTACTGTTTGCTTTGTATATGCCAACAAGGATGTAGTGCAGGGGTCTGCCTGATTGGTTACAAATTGCTTGGACAATTTAGATAGATCTGAAGCTCACCACGCACGTTACAATCCTACTGTACATGTTCCGTTAAATCTACCAACAAGTATGAAGTACACGGACCTGCCTGATTTGATACAAATTGATTGAATAGATTAGGTAGGTCCTCACATTACATAGCTGATTGATCTAAAATTGATTGTAGAAAAATGCACAGTCAGATTGTAGAATGTAACCAAAAACCCCTCTAAATGAATCAACGTATGGCACAGAAAAAACCTTCAAAGGTATTCACGTTTCATTCTATCATATGTCCCAAAAATAAGAGGGTTACCCTCCTACTTTTGGCTCCACCCGCTGTCATTGTAAGACAGCGGGCGGAGCCATGCCAATCATTGGGGTGTAAACCAATTATTTGTGTGGCTCCACCCACTGTATTGAAATGAGGAGTGATCCTCTTATTTTTAGGATAGGTGATGGAACGAGACGCGGATACCTTCCATTGGCTAACTTATTACAAACAAATACAAGCTTTTGAGATATCTTCCATCCTTTCTTCAGGCTCTATATCAGGGGTAGACAATCTTGGGACTTCAGCTATTGTGGAACTGCAAGTCCCATGAGGCATTGCAAGCAGGGCAGGCCTTTGGGGTGTGCAAGCTGTGTGGCCCCTCAGGGCTCCATGGCAACAGGGGTGCCAGGCGGCTGACACAGCTCGCTATGACACAAGCTGCAGGTGCTGCAATTACACAGGGGTTATTCACTATTGAGCCGAAGGATTAGGCTGAAGCTTTGTCTAATCCTTCGGCTCACTTCAGCCGCCGGAGCCCTTCGGTTCAGGCTATTCACAAAAGTCCATACAGCAGCCGAAGTGCTAACCGAGTCGAAGCATATGGGTTTGGCTCAGCTGAGCTGATGACACAGCCGAAGCAGGGAGAATGGCCTGCCAAAGCAGAAATGGAAATAAATAGTAAATAAAAACAAAAACGCACAGGGTCCCCCTTCTTATTCATACCAGACCCTTTAGGTCTGGTAGGAATGTTAGGAGGGACACCCGAGTTAAAAGTAAAAAAAAAGTGAGTGGGGTTCCCCCCAAAAGTCATACCAGGCCCTTTAGGTCTGGTAGGAAATTTAAGGGGGAACCCCACCGCCCCCAAAAATGAAAAAAAAAAAAAGGGGGGTCCCCCTTAAAAGTCCAAATCATACCCTTAATCCGAGCACAGGCCTGGCAGGGCAGGAAGGGGGGAGGGCAAGCGAGTACCCCTTACTCATTCACAAGGGGAGGGCAGCATCTGGCTAACTCCTTTATGAAAGGGGGTACCCCTATGCAAATAAGCCCCCCTGCCCACAGAGGCCCTTGCCCCATCAGCATGGGGACAAGGTGCTTTTTCAGGGGGGACCCCTTGAAATACACCCTCCCAATGCCAAAGGCATGTTGCCTGGTATGGTGCAGGGGGGGGTGGGGGCGCTAGGGGCCCCCCCATTTCCCCCCCCCCCCATTTTTTGGTGGTGGGGTTCCCCATTAAAATTCCTACCAGACCCAAGGGCCTGGCATGACTTTTGGGGGGAGCCTCACGCGCACTTTTTTTCTTTAACATTTTTAACTGAGTGAATGCACGCAAAACATGCATGTTTGCTTGGCCACGTTTGGGGGGTGCCATTAACTATAATGGCACTGCAAGCGCGATGCACATTTGGTGTGCGTTCTGCGAATGCAGGTCAGAGCGTGCACTTTTGCGTGCATTTGACGGGAATTCTCGATGTGCCAATGGGGGAAAACAGACTCAGGGCTCATGCAACACAGGTGTGTTTGCATGCAGTGTAAAGTACGCCTGTATTTGCGGCACCACAGCTGCTGCAGTTCTCTGTCCATACCAATGTATGGAATGAAAATGCTGTACTCAGGTGTACACCTATAAATACTCGTACCAGCGATTGCACGCACGCACGCACGCACGCACACAGGGGCATGTTTTCAAATACAGAAGTTTTGTGTTCGAAAACTCACCCCTGCACGCTGCACACAGATGTATTTTAACCTGTATGTAAATATGCCTGCATTTGCTCATGAATACCCCCAGGAGCATGAGCCTCATTCACACATGAAACGCAAATACAAAGCATCTCTTATTAATGGACCTGAATGCAGGTATATTGTTTTCAATGGAGCCATGCACACGGCTGCGTAAACATGCTCTGCGTTCAGATCCGTAACACAAAATCGAAAAATCTGCATCTGAGGACATACATTTTACTGATTATCAACCAGGAATTTTTTGGGCAGCAAATAAAGCTGGGTATGTGATGAGTGTATGTAGCCTTATCCTTATTCAAGTACTAATCGATGTCTACCCCCCAATCACAACTAATTGACGAGCTCTCCGATCCCCGCTCTCTAACAATAGGCGTCATGCTCGTCCCCGGCATCCAGCCAGCGGCAACTTTCTCAGCCTCCCGCAGAAGAGAAAAAGGGAAAGTGGGCGTGCCCGCGAGGAGGGCTGGTGGCCGGAGGCGGCGCTCCATTGGCTGCCTAGGCGCAGGAAGAATAGCGGTATGCAAATGACGGGGGCGTGTCTGCGAGGGCAATGCAACTCCCTATGGGGCTGGTGGGCGCGTGTGTAGCTTTGGGGGATAGTTACTCTGGATTCCACAGGGAAGCAGATACAGAACCAAGGCAGGCAGGGGGGCAGCTGCAAGCACAGCATCCTCCTCCTCCACTGTGTGCCCTAAACCGGGGCAATAGGAGCCCACCATCCACTACTCCCCACTGTCTGTAGAATCATTGCAAAGTATCCAGCCCACCCACCCACCCCAATCTTTCAGGGGGGAGAAGGGATCCAGGACTACAGCAAGCTCCTTTCACACTGTTGCTGCATCCTAGCCATAGTTGGAGGATAACCTGACACCGGATCAATCACTTGTGGGGTCCTGACACAAGGAAGATGACATTTGGTGTATCAGAGCTGGCATCTCCAATCCATTCCATTGTTCGCTGACACTGCCACCGTGCTGCATCTGATTGCTGATCGTCTTCTATCGATGTGATCCAACTAGACCGGGATTGTGGACCTCCAGCGAGCCTCCAGAGCCTGCTTGCCTTGCCTTCTTCTCCTCCTTGCTTTGGGATTTGCAGCGGCTCACCCGCAGATCCTGGTGCTGGGCGATCTGGGGGGTGACCCCTGTGTGTGGCACTGCCAGAGAGGCTGGGGGAAGGTCGGTGTATCGGTGTGGGAAGCAGGAGAGAAGGGGATCACAAGCCTGTGTTCATGTTTGGGATTCAGGAAAGCATACAGAGGAGTGGGAGCAGTATGAAGGAGGAGCCCCTGAGCAGCGGAATGAATGCTGTCCGGACGTGGATGCAGGGAGCCGGGGTGCTGGATGCTAACACGGCCGCGCAGAGGTAGGACGGAGCCGGCTAGGTGATGCCAAGGAAGGGAGGGGGGGCGCCAGGGCAGA